TTTTGTGTATGTTTTTACTTTCATATGGTAATAACTTCTCCTTGAGCTGTGTACCTTGAAGTCTCCACAGAGGCTTATCTTTTTTCAATTGTGGAAAATATAATTATCTTTGAAACTGGGCTAGCTTTAGATTATATCTGCTTTTATGTTGCTTCCCAAAGTCGTGTATACAAAAACCATTTCAAGAAATCATTTTTCTAAAATATGAAGTCATCCAGTTTAATTATATGTTCCTTTCAATGTATTTATTTCCAAACAAAAGTTGCATTGTATGTTCAATAAAATGCTTCACACAGTCAGATGTCTCATTTGTCAGTTTTTAATTTATTGAGATGTGAAAAGTGAAAAATATGAAACATATTATTGAACTAATTTTATATGAAAACTTACACTTAGCAATGTTTAAAAAGTTGTGTAAATCAAAGAAGTACTTGAAATAGCAAATTGTACATTTTCACAACTAATGTAACATTACAAAATAATCTTTTCACGTTTGTATTTCACTAATTTCAGTATTTAATGACAAAAAGAAACTTTGAATATGATATCTATTAATTTGAAATAAAATGATTAAATAAATAACCATATAGTCAATTTAGCACTGCTGGTTTGGTGTAATTGTTGATTATAATGTAGCTAAAACTAGTTTCAATTTATTGACTATACCAAATGATTGGACACATTTTTTAAATTTTAAGTTACAAATAGTATAACTTATAAAATGGTTTTTTTTATGACTTAAGTAAGCAGAACTTAAACAAGATTAAATACTGTTCAACAGACCTAATTATATGTATTACATTTTCCATTATAGTTTCTAGGTACATGAAGGCAGTATTTTGTAAAGTATATTGATTTCATTAACTTTGTAAAGAACATTTTCAGCCATGTATGTAAAATGTAGATGTCACTATTGAGAAGAAACTGTAGAACTAGTGAGTAAAAAGCAGAAGTATGTTTTAATGTAGTACAACATTATGTGTAAATTAAGGGTGTTACATGAACCCAATACCAATTATTATAGTCACCTCAGTTAAAAATCTTGAATTATAATGATGTGGGGAGAAAATGAATTGTCCTGATGATTAATGCATTGCAACCTCACATTAAGTTTTAGTTTACAAGTTAAAATAATAGAATTTAACTGTTAAAATCTTGAATTATAATGGTGTGGGAAGAAAATGAATTGTCCTGATGATTAAAACATTGAAACCTCAAATTAAGTTTTAGCTTACAAGTTAAAATGAAAGAATTTAACTGTTTAAAATCTTGATTTATAATGATGTGGGGAGAAAATGAATTGTTCTGATGATTAAAACATTGAAACCTCACATTAAGTTTTAGTTTACAAGTTAAAATAATAGAATTTAACTGTTAAAAATCTTGAATTATAATGATGTGGGGAGAAAATGAATTGTCCTGATGATTAAAACATTGAAACCTCAAATTAAGTTTTAGCTTACAAGTTAAAATTAGAAAGAATTTAACTGTTAAAATCTTGATTTATAATGATGTGGGGAGAAAATGAATTGTCCTGATGATTAAAACATTGAAACCTCAAATTAAGTTTTAGCTTACAAGTTAAAATGAAAGAATTTAACTGTTTGTGGATCATTAGGTATTAGTAGAAGCATTAATTCAATATCTGGTTAAACAAGTTGGATCTGTATGCACTAAAACTTCTTATTGATGTTTTCAATAATACTGATCCAAGCATAGGAAATACAATGTGAATAAAGTAAGTAAATAGCAGATGAAATTTCCAACTGCTTAAACATGATAATATGTAACAGTTCATGAGATATTTGAAGGAATGTTAACTTTGTCAGTCAGAGTACTGTTGGAATTTGTATACTAATGCTAATTAAATTGTTAGTATGGTTATGCTGAAGATACAGTATGTAACGTAGCCTTATCAAAAGTAGTTTCATAGATAACTTGATGTAAGTATCACTATTTACAAACTGTAATAACAGCTAAAATTTTACCTATAATATGAATGGACTGAGTACAGCCCAGTGTGATAGACTGTAGATTCAAGGTTTGATCCTATTTACCACCAAAAAACAAGTCTTGCTCTGAAATATGGGGCCTTGGATGGCTTATAAGAGTAACAGACAAATCCAACAATTTGGTCTGACAAGAGTTGGCAGTATTAACTATTTGCTTTCTGTTTAGTCTGTCACTTCAAAATTAGGCCTGGCTAGTGCAGATAACCCTCAAATAGCTTTGTTTTGCATGAAACCAAACAAACACATTTATGTGAAATACAATTCTGATATTACTGCTATTGTTTTCATATCAAGGTTTTTTAAAACACACAAAAACTATTTGGTGGGAGCAGTTAAAAATCCCTTAAAAAACCAGTTACTTGTAAAAAAAAAAAGGCTTTAAAAATGCAATAAAAACCAACACAGAACTTTCAGGAAACATTCACTATAACCAAAAAAGGCTATTATGTTTTTTAAATGCATATTGACAAACTGACCTAACTGTGACTGTTAATTCATAGCCACCCATTCACACAGTTACCTGATCTTCACAAAATAAAAGGTTTGTGCATCTAATATGCATTAGATAATGTGCAGTGATTTCTGATAAAAGACACAAGATAACATGGTGTGGAAGTCAATAAGATAAAATGAAATTGTATTCTCTGAGATAGATAAATGAAATAAACATTAAATTTCATTTTTATATATATAGATTAAGCAGTTAGTTATTTTGAAGTAGTAATCATCAGTGTGTTTATTGTTAATACTGATTTTGATTAGACAAGTGTTATGGTCAAGGTAGACAGTGGGTAAAGAAGAGAGTTTCTTACATGTATATCTTGTTGTGTTTAATTCGGAATATGACCCACTGCTGTAAATTGACAATGTAGTAGACTTGTTGACTGTGCATGTGAAAATAATAAACTGTGGAGTAAAGTAAAATTAGTCTTGGCCATTTTGTGTTATATTGACCTTGAGTCAGGGGTGTAAAGGTAACAAAGTAACTTGAGTAACTTTTTTCATTATCCACTTATGGAAAGATAGACTTTGTTTAGTCTTACATAAATATTCAAAAGATACAAAACTTCCATTTTTAATATTCTCTTCCTAATTTTCTATTTTTATCTAATTGGAAATCTCCCACTGTGAGAGAGATTGCTGTCCTGTTCTCCACAAAAACCAAAACAGTTAATTTTCTAACATATTTTGTCACAATAAATACATTCATTGCAGTTATTCATACTCCCTCACCAACTGGTTATATCTTAATCACTCTTTACTGCTTTTGTTTGTCTAATATTGATACTAATTGCTTACAAGAAATTACTGACACGGCCTTTCACTTACTACTCAAAATCATTGTAATATGATGTACTGAACCCTCTACATTCCCTGACTATAAAATCTTAAAATGTTTGTAAGTTCCGATTTTGAAAATCCTAAATCCAGTTGAGGTCATGTTAAATCCAACATAAGGTGTTACTTTTTTGCAGTTTGACTGGTCAAGGAACCTATCTACTGTTTCATAGGATAGTTGCATTGTGTCCTACTTGACCTTGGGTATGGGAGATACCACGTGAAGTCTTAAAACAGATATTTCTGCATTCCAGTGCCCTTTTTCTTACTGGCCAGCTAAAGAGAAAATGTGCATTTCAGGGAGATTAGCCTCTAATTTCAAAGGGTCCAGGTTCACTATGTTTTTGTGTAGGTTATCACGTATGCTGACTATGTGTGTGTGTGTTGTCATACTTTTAAAAGTTTTAATTTTATTTTTCCCTTAATATCCATTTTTTCAACTTGTAGTCATGTGAAATAAAAGGTACTTGGTTGTATTCATCAGATCTTTATGTTTCTTCTCTTCTGCACTTGTTCTTACATTAACATTAAATCCAGCCAAATCTTCCAACCTCTCATGCAGGGATATTTTACCTGTGTATCATTACCCTTCCAACTGAGAACAGTTCATGTGTAACTCTTAATGACATAATCTATCATTGTTTATAGACATCTTACAATATATTTCAAATATCTTCCCAAGGTGAAACCTAAACTTTTATAATGTTCCTCTCTAAGTTTTCAACATTACTTTTGATATGAAATTACACTGTTCACAATTTATAATTTTACTTAGTATTGGTAAACATATTTCCTACTATCACGAGCTGCACTCCATTTACTTGCATCTTCATTTATAAAACTCTGTTTATCCACGTAGGTTACGGTTGTATGGTCACCCTATCAAAGCATGATAATCTTTGCCATAAACTGAAACTACAAAAAAGAATCATGCTATTTGCATTTTTTTGCCTTCGAAGGTAGACTTCTGTTTTCACAAAAAATCTCTTCTTCGTGGAAAAAATATACTCCACTTTGCATCCATAACTTATTTATTCATTATCCTCATTCATATTTAAAGCATCAAATTTTTCATGTTTATTTTTTTTTACCTACTTTCACAGATGGGGCAAAGAGTGATTCCTATATCCGAGAACCCTCTAAAAATACCCAAAATGGTAGTGGTGATGATATTTCCAAAATAATTTTACTATGATAATCCGTGAAAGTAAATTCTACCCTAAAATAGTGAAAAATATGTGGCCTGATAACAACATAGTTAGAGTTATGTTCTGAACTTTAATAACTAAAATTCAAATTCTGGGTGTCATTTCATGTACCATTTTGTTTCACCTACTTTGACAAAATGTTCTATGTAGAACTTGCCAAATCTATAAGAGCCCTCTTTATAAGTGTTAATGTATTTCTAAATTAATTTCATTGCAGATCTAGAGGTTAAAAATCTGATTTATTCAATAAGTTTTTAAAGCATTTAAAGAAATAAACATTTTTTGGGGATTTTCTCTTTTATAATTTATTACTTCTTGTTGATTTGGGAAAACAAGTATTTTGAAATAGTGAAAAGTAAAAGTTACATAAATTTATTCTTTTAAAATATCCCTTAATATATTTCCTACCAGAAAGAAAAGAATCAGCAAATTTGTTTATAAATTCATGTGGTAAATTATCAAAATTTATTCAATGATGTATGTACAGGGAACATAGTACAAACTGTGAAGTTCAAAACGTTTTACAAAGTAAGAACATCTTGAAAAGGCTGAATTGAGTAAAGAACTGGGAAAGGGGATGGGAGCAATATTAAAGTGCACCACTGGCTGAATTCTTTCTCAAAATTTGTTATATTGTTCTTTGATTCTCTGCAATTTCTTACAGCATTAGGGTTCCTAACCTAAAAATAACAAGTCCAACTAATACAGACAAAAGCTATGTTGATCAGCTAAATTCCTTTTAAACACAAAATGAGGGCTTAATGAAAAAGACTGAAGTTAGCTAAATGTTTACAGTACATTTTCATACTATAACACAAGGGTAACTGGTGCTTTCAATTTCATGCATAGTAATATTAGAAAGGCTAAATTATTTGCTTTTAACAAAGTGTAAGACGTGATCAAAGCACCGCAGTACCTTATGGGATAATATGAACAAAGATAAACTTTGAGTAATGAAACTAACACATTGCACCAAAACAGACAAGGATCATCACTTATGCTCAAAAAAATTGATTGCAGATGCACAATCGTTGAGATGCATGATGAGTCTCATGGAAAATGACAACCTGTGAAGGCACATGAGAAACAAAATGGCCCTTGTGAAGCAGTCTTGCCCCCATATCTCGACTCTGGCACCTGAGACCACTTTAGTATCACTTAACTCCCAGTAGCAGGGCTAGGGAGCAGTTCTTGGAAGTACTTTCTCTTTATATAGATAAGTATTTCTGTATTTAAATAGATATACATATTTTAACAGGGTAACTTATTATACAGGACAGACCATATGTTATGATTAGGTACAACAAGTTATAAAACAGCTCTTAATCATTAGTTCCTTGGGCTGGTTGGTCTAAAGCAGAGAATGGGTGGCATAGTAGATAAATCAGGTGGAATGATTAGTTATAAATACAGTTTATCCTTTCTAAAAGTTTTATACTTTCTTTACTTATGCGTTGTTAGCATTATGAAGACTTAATGTAAATGATGACTTACTGTACAGCTGAAATTGCCCAATAAAGAACAAAAAAGATGGGCAAATAACTTTATTAAAAGTAGAACCAATGCCTTCATATTGTTTGCCCTTCTGATGATTCATTAAGAGAAACAGTACAAGAAGCTAAGAAGAATCATAAAATGTTTTAAGAAATGAAGAAACAACTTTCTGATATGGTGAAGACTATTTAATGTAAAAACTCAATTAGGCCAGAGAGTCTGGCTTAGCACTTAAGTACTGTAAAATAAGACTAAGAGCTAAAAGGAATAAAGACATTTTTAAATTGGGCTGGAATGTAATTAGGCAAATGAGATGTACAATTAATAAATTTCTTTAAAATCCTGTACAATAACATTATTTTCAATAAAACCCTTCCACAGTGGCCAGGTGACTAGACAACCCAGCCACAATTTCTTGGAAGCATACCTTCAAGTCCATTCTGGAACAAAACACAAACTGTGTCTAAATTTCAACAAATAATGCCTGTTAGAGAGGGTTTGATTCTTAAGACTTGCATATGTACACAGTAAAGACGTTGAAACTTTAACTAATATTCTTTAGAAAAATAACAAGTGGAAAACCATTGTTATTGTACTAATCAACCAATGTGTTGTAAGCAGAATGATCTGGTCTCTTCTGCATAAAGAATACAAAAATATAGCTTGATAATGACATAGTTCATCAGTTGGCTACCTGCCTGTCCAAAATATCTTCACCTATATAATGTAGTGCTTATCACACATCTGTGGAATGACTAGATTCACTGGGTGACCGTGAATGAACCATAATTTTATGGTCATTAGTCACATGGTCATACCCTTCACTAGCAATGGCAGTTTGTGTTTGGTCTGAATCTAGCTTCTTTACCTCTATAAAATGTCTTAATGCTTGCTGAATCACACGTGCACAGTACTCCTCACGTTGTCGCCACAGGGTACTACTCACTTGTCCGAACTGCCTATCATCCTTAGCTGGGACTGCTTCTGCTAATTCTGCAGTTTCTTCAATTACATGGCCCTTTGTAGCAAAGAATTCCTTTGTAAGGGCATCTAAGATGTCAACACAATACACTTGTTCTCCCTCACAGATAGAGATATCCATACGAATAATTTTGTACTTGTTAGGTTTGGGTTGTCTAAGGGGAAACTCAAGGGCATCCATGAAGTCAGATAACTTTTCATAAGGAATGTATTGTGAGCCAAGAGGATCAAATTTCTGCCATATTTCGTAGTACATGTCATAATCATCATCAGTCAAGCCTTCTTCAACTTCCTCCTGAGCCTGACTATAATTTTCCAAGATAACAGCTATGTACATGTTAATAATAATTAGAAAGCTAATAATTAAATATGAAATAAGGTATGCAACTGCAATACTCCTGGTGCCACAATTTCCTTCTGAGGTACTGGTTCTAGGCTCACAATCATCCTCATCCATTAGAGCTGATAGGACACCATCCCAACCTGCTGAGGTGGACAGTTGGAAAAGAATAATCATTGACTGACCAAAGGTTTCAAAGTTGAAGTTATCATCAATTCCATATCGGTGTTTAACATTCATAAAGAAGGACATACCAAAAATGGCATAAATAAACATGACAAGGAAAAGGAGAAGACAGATGTTGAAAAGGGCAGGCAAGGACATGGCTAAGGCAAAAAGTAGGGTCCGGATCCCTCGAGCTCCCTTCACCAACCTAAGCACCCGGCCAACTTTAACAACTCGAACTACACGTAGAAGTGTAGGAGAGACAAAGTATGCAGCAATCAGGTCCTTAAGTCCAACACCTGCAAAATAAAAGAAACATGGTAAAAAGTAAATACTGATCAAGTTTACAGTCCTGAAATATTCATGGGGGAAAATATTTTTAACAATATTCACAAAGTTCAGCTTAAAGAATGAAAGATAATATCCTGCAGCTTAGCTACTAAATGTGTATTTACTGATAATGACAGTGCTATTTCTGTACTCATTTAAATTATATCATTAGATAAAAGATTGTGTTTAAGACATATAAATGAGTTCTTCACTGATCATGAGTTTTTTTCTATACAAGATGAATAAACACACAGATGGGGAACATATTTTACCAAAAAGAATGAAAAATCTAATCAACTAAAAAAACAATGAAAATACTACAGAGAAAAAAGTCAGTTGCAACTTGCAAGCTTTTATACACAAAAAAAGAATGTGACATGCAATGAAAATCATAATCACAAACTTTTACATCTACAAAATTTATCAGAAGCCTATAGATTTAAATGATTTAGTTTATATTTTGATAACATTAACCAGTGAAATCATGATTACTTTAAAGTTTGTTTGAAGGGGGGAATACACAGATTTTATCACAATGGTTTCATATTCAATAAAAACAACATCTCACTACCCAGTTTAAGGTTGGATTTTCAAAATTCTCAGCTGAAAATAATAAAACGGCCTTTTAATAAAATTTGTTCTTTGGGTTAGGTAAAAAATAATGCAATAATAAATAACAATTCAATGCAAAATTTCTTGCTACCAAATGATTATTTGCATTTGTTAAAGCAAATACTACACCACGATAACTTTATAAAGTTTAAAAGCATAGTAAATAGCAATGAAATGTGAAGTTTGTTGTTACTGAAGGATAGTTTTGTATTTGGTAAACCACACACTGCACTATTCAGTAAAATGTAAAATTTGGTTCTTGTTTGTCACTGTATTTTTTTTTAAATTTGAATGCCCAATTTTAACCTAAGACGTTTTGGTGGCCAAATTTTACCAAATGATCCTTCAACTGCTTAATGCACCAGCATTGACATTATGATATTTGGAGTGAAGCTCTGCTTGTTATTAAGTTAAAGAGAAGGTATATGAAATTACACTTTAAGGTAAATTCTTTCTCAAAATCATACCCACCTAAGATTGACAGTGTAACCACAACAAAATCAAATACGTTCCATGGTTCCTTGAAGTAATGCCATCGCAAGGCAAAGATCTTTAACACACATTCAGCAGTGAAAACTGCAATAAAGAAGATGTTTAGTCTCTCCACAATAAGCTCAAACATATCTGTTTGGTGATAGTGATCCAAGCCCATTATAATCATGTTCAACATGATGAAGATCATGATGGCCATGTCAAACTTGGTATTGGTGATCAAATCAAAAATAACAGCTTGAGGTTTAAACTGTAAGGAATAAAAAATCATGTGATGGTAAGTTGAGCAGGTATTATATAATAGGTTTACACTAAAAGTTAAATAAAAATTGTGATAACAGACTTTAAAGTATACTGTGAAGCCAAAACAAAAATATCTGGACAACCAACTCCTTTAGTATAAATACAAAGATGAAAATGTAATTAAATAGTGTCAAATTATTTATAAAGTTCTAAGTTACATAAGTTTTAGAGAAGAAATAACAAGATTTTGAAAGTGTAGAAAAACTGTCAAATAAAACAGTCACAATGTTTGGCCATGTGCGTGAGACCAAAGATATTGATAATTTGACAGTACATCTAAAGTTTAAAAAATTAGTCTGCTGGAAGTTCTGTCTGAGCATGGCAAACACTCAGTTGTTAGAATTGTAAAGACAGTGCCTAGAATTATGTATGCAATAAATTAACACAAGTTTACTGATTCAGTGTGGCCAAATGTGAATGGGTATCATCTGTGAAGTCAAAGAAGCATGCTATCCATGAACGCACATGCTTTGGAAGGGCTGAGCTATGCAAATTATAGATCCTCTCAAAAATGTTCAGCAATATTTTGCTTCATGTAAAACTTGTTTGTATTGGAATGTTCATGATTGGCCACAAATGTATTGTGTAATGAAAGCCAATTAATTCTGTTTTTTTACAGTAAAAACCAAATATGAAAGCATGCAATTGAATAAATTCACTATGAAGGACTGTAGTAAGGATGTTATGCTGAGGCCTATCTTCAAGCCTAAACAGTCATGAATATTGAGAGATCATAATTAAATATCAATAACCACAGTGGAGTTTTTTAGTCAGCAGGAAAGTTTGTTTTTCCAAAAGGTTACTCTTTTATGTTTGGTTCCAAAGTACAATATCTTAAATAGCCTAGATTTTATCCTTATAGAACATCTTTAAGACCAGCTATGGATAGTATTTAACTGAAAAGGTTGTAACACAGCCTTCTAGTTCTTATCAAGTGATAGATTTTATAAAACAAATGTGGAAAAAAACTAAACTAGATACTTGTCAGATCCTAGCTGACAGCATGTCTCAAAACAGCAGCATTACTTCAGGTCCATAATGGTGAAAAACCTATACAAACAGTAATCACTAAGATAACTCTCTTTAACTGATGTCTGGATACTTTCAACAGGGTAGTGAAGGTATAAACTGTTACAAGAACAAAGATAAGTAAATAGTGCTGTAAGTTATTTTGTCAATTACAATAGCCAGTCTTAAACTATGAAATCAAAAAGACTCATAAGTTTTGATGATAAAGTGCACTAGCCTCAACTTGAAACCACATAGAAGACTATGGTGAGCTAACCAAATATGACATTACTGATAAGATATCCTGTCAGATTTCATATTCTTAGGTGCTGATGTCAAAAAGTTTCTTTACTTACTCGAGGACGAGGTATAGCTTTCATTGGTTTCTTTGAGCCCATCTTTTTCATAGCATTGTAATATTTTTTCTGATCTTCTGTCATAAACATTTCCAGAGACCCTCCTGCGTAAAATATAAATACTTGGAAGTAAGACACCAGCAAATTTAAACATTTATTCACTAATTATTAAATTGTTTTAGAAGCAATATAAAAATTCTACTTAAAAATACTCTCTTTATTTCACATTTTGAGTACTGACTTATTCAAGAGTATTGAATCATAAGAAAATTACCTTTTATTGCTCTTACACAGTACACTGTGTTTCTACTGTAAACTACTCAAATTTTAATTTTGAAAATTATATTCTTATTGTGCTGGGACATATTTAATTATGTGTTCTTTTAGTGAATACAACTTTTATACATTATCAATTCAACCACACCTACTATGAACAGCACCAACAGATGTATCTAATTGCTGCAAACAATTTTTAAGAGTCTTTAGCTTTCATTTTCAATAAATTGCTTGGAAAAATGCTTTCTAATCAAATTCTAAATAAAAAACAATTTTCATCAAGCAACTCAATTTCGAACAGTACATTTTCCTATTAGTGAGAAAATGAGTAATTCTTAGTTAAACTTATCTTTTTCTTCTGTTCGTTGAAATTGTCAATGATGACTCCAATGAAAAGATTCAGTGTAAAAAATGAACCAAAGATGATAAAGAAGACAAAGTAAAGGTACATGTAGATGTTGACTTCATCATCAGGTTGTACCCCTTTTTCCTGGTATAATCATTACAGATAAATTTTTATAAATCCTCATTCAAAAACAGAGTTTATATGAGTATATGCAAAAGAACTTTGTTTTTTTATATTAAATTTTTATTTCAATAATCAAGTAACTTAATGAATGTTTCTATATGTGTATGCATATACTGCTTATTTTTGAGGCACACTATTTTGAAATAAAAAAAAAGAAATGGATAGAAGTTCTTATTTGATATTTTTTTAATATTTTAATCATGAGAAAAATCTTAGTAAAAGCTGTACTTCCTGATTAATATTAATGCTATAAATTTCTAGTAAAAATATATAATTTTTTTAGATTTGTTAATATCAATTATCTTAAGCATATTTTATTTGACAAAGCACAAGCCATATCTTTCAGCAATACATTCAGAGTATTGTTAAATGAAGAGTTTTAAGTTGTTAAAGTTGAATAAGCGATTTATTTAGTTAAATAAAAACAAAAGAACATTAAAAAACACATTCTGATTTGTATTTTTTATAATTTAGATTAATTGATGACTAACTGAAGCAGTCTGTGGTATATTCATGTATACTTACACTTTTAGAGTCAATTGCACTATTCATTATCACTGTCCAACCTTTGAAAGTGGCCTGAAAATAAATTTTAGAAACCTTTTGTCACAAACATTAATGAAAGTTTTGTATATAACACTAGTTTTTAACATAATATTATTTATATAGCTCTAGTTTATAACATAATATTATGTTTTGTGCTTCTCTATACAAAACAAATACTGTTTGTGTCCTACTGAAGTAGAATCCATTGTGTTTGTCATGTTTACATATTGTAGCACAATGATCAGTCACAGTTGATGTAATTAATAACAGTGACTAAATGACTAATCTTGTTATTAATAAATTTAGACAAAGCCTAGTACAACTGGTAATTAAAGTACCCTAACACCAATAAAAAAAGTTTGAAACAAATCTGTAGTTAACAGTTTGTTAAATTCAAGTTTTCAGAATAAGTTTCCACCAAAAAATAGCTTTTTATGTATATTTCTAAAGTATTACTGCCAAATATATTTTAAGTACTTGGTGTGGGTGTTACATAACTATTAAATGGACAAATTATTTGATGTAAATATGAACTAAGCTTGTATTGATTGATCAGATTATACTATTAGTTAACATTTAAGTAATAGCCTTCTGGAGATTGATTTCATAACACAATTCATCAAATGAATTTGATAAATGGCAATTAGCTCTTAATACATATATTAATTTTGGAGTAGAGGAATCATACTTATAGATCAAGAAATGATAACTCATTAGTATTTAAATAAAATTACAACATTCTAGTCTTGAAAGTAAAACAACAGTTTGTGTGTGCTAAACACATACCTGTACAAAGTTAAACAAACATCATCTGATTATCATGTTGAAAAACCAAAGATATATATAGGCATTTGTTATCAATAAACTTGGATGTAAAATTTCATATTCATACTTAAACTTTCTTCACTAAAGCCTATTAATCAAACTATAACTTTTGAATGATCTTTATTTCATGATTAATTTAATCTTCTCTTACATTCTTATAGTGTGCTGAACACATACCTGTACAAAGTTAAACAAACATCATCTGATTATCATGTTGAAAAACCAAAGATATATATAGGCATTTGTTATCAATAAACTTGGATGTAAAATTTCATATTCATACTTAAACTTTCTTCACTAAAGCCTATTAATCAAACTATAACTTTTGAATGATCTTTATTTCATGATTAATTTAATCTTCTCTTACATTCTTATAGTTCTAAACCTGACAAGCTACTTTCTTTTTGTAAGAGAAATGCTTATTTAATTTCATATTATTTTGAAAATAAACATTCTTTCAAATTATGTGTAAAAATGAAGAATAACTAAGTTTTTATTTTCTGTCTAGATTGCATTTATAGATCACATGGTATTCATTATTTTTTACACTTATTACAACATAATGTATCATTGTTTCAAAATATTAGAAATAAACAGATTCAAACAAGATCCATAAATCCACCTTAAGCTTAGCTGTAACATATTACATAAACCATAACTGAGCTGTAATGTACTACACAAACCATAACTTATTAACTGTAAGTGCTTATAATAATACAAAGAAAAAAGAAGAAGCTACTGATACAAATCTTCTAAACTTACTACTTGGAAAAGGGCAAGATATGCATTCAATACATTGTCAAAATTAATCAGTGGATTTTCCCAGCTCAGATTTTTGGCCAAACAAGCATCAACGTTAGGAATATATGTACTGTTTATCCGAGTGCCATTGCCGTCTACACATTGATAGAACTTTCCTCCAAACATCTGAACTCCCATGATTGAAAAAATGAGCCAAAAGATCAGACAAACCAATAATACGTTGAAAATGGCAGGGATGGCTTGAATTAGGGCATTGACCACTACCTGATGGAAAAAAAAAACAATTACTAGCAGACTTATAATTTTGTATGCATGTATGTATTTGATAGCTTGTGTCATTAAAATGATCTTTATTAGAAAGCATCAGTGGTTTAATTCTTTTATTCAGGAGGTAGAGGCACTTGCCTGGGAAGTGAAAGGTCTTGGGTTCAAATTGGAGTCAAGGAAATAAATTTTAAATTACCTATGTATACATATGTTTTCAATTTGTCAAATAAACAGGAAAGTTAGAAGCAAGAATAATATATGTGTGTGTTTGTTATGTGAATTATAAAACAAAATTCAACAGACATTGAATTTCATAAATTTCAAAATTTTTTCGTCACATGAATAATTGTGCCATTTTTCACAACTCAAAATTGAGAATTTCTGAGAAAATAATTTTTTAGAAAGCATCTTTTTCTGATTCAGTTCCTTTATAACATGTCAATGTTTACCTTTTCACCTGTTAGTATTAAAAGGATTAAAATTACTATTACATATTACAACTGCAGTGTACAAATTAGTTAGATGTGACACGTATTAAACAAGCAAAGACTTCTGTATCTCTTAAATAAGATTAAAAAATGATTATAAAAAAACTGAAAATACTAAAAATTGTTTTTGTTATGTCTAAATATAAAAAGAAAGAAGATGGTAGTGAGATATCTAGTTTAGCAAACAGCAAAGTCAGAAGCAAAAGCAACTGAATTGAAAACAATCTTAATTCAAAAACCACAATTTACAAATAAATTTATTATATTTTAGTTCTGCAAGTAAGTAGTAAGTAAAAAAACAGAACAATTTCTTCAAACTGAAGTATAATATTTTTAAACAGATTTTAATGTTATGAAGCTTAAAATTCTGTTACACAGCTATAACATGCAGAAAGAGATAGATAATGGAAAGTTAAAACTGAAAGATCGGGTAGAAAGTTTTCATTTCTTACCAGAATAGAAACTGCATTGGCAAAGATAGGTTGGCAAAAGTGGAGGCTATTAATTTGACTATATGATAGATATACTTGATAAAAACATGCAGTTTGTGAGGTTGAATAAAGCTTATGAGTATACAGAAACAATTACACATATATTTGTGAAAAATGGTTATCATTATGGTATATATTACTCACTAGTCAAAACAAATACATTTCAATTGGAAACAGTAAGTTTAAGAAACAAATAATATATAAAATGCAATACAGTTTTTTAATTAAATCTAACAGTCACAGATTTTAAGCATTATATTTGTAGTTATGTATATTTTAACTTGTTTTGATGTTAATTAATTAATGTTATTGTTTAGATACTAATTTTTTAAAAGACAAAAATAAGTGTCAAAGTATACTTTCATTTCATACTTTTGACACTTGTTTAATATTTCAATCAATAAAGGGTTACATGCCCATGCACCACAAACATTTAAACAACAAAAACGAGCTTACCTTGCAAGTGCTTCAATGGAATTATCAGTGGTTTAATTAAAAAAATAAAATTCAAATGCTTACCTAGAAATGTTTCCTGTGAGATGAGGTGTTGAATACATACAGAATCTTTAAAAACGCAAGAAAAACTGCACAAAATCATCAAATTCTGTATTACCTTGCAATAACAAAAACAAATTCAAAACAAAATAAAACTGCATGCAAAGTGATGATGTTATCAAATGCTACAATCTCGGTAAATGTTGAAATAATTTCTGGAACGTGCTATGGATTAATTGAGCAAATTAACCAAACAAAGGTTATAGTAAGTTTATACAGTTTTCTCTATCGCCCTGTTAACAAAGCAAAGGGTAAGTTGAAACATTTTACCACCCTGTTACTGAAAAGGGAACATGTTCTGATCCATAAAAATTGTAATTTTATTCTACTTTTGTAAAATACTTCAACACTTTTTTTGGGGTTATCATTCTAAACGAGTAGAAAGCTGTAACAGCTATCACTGTAATCTGCTTCCAAAAGTAACATATAGGTCTCTTGCATTATTGTTATCAAAATGATTTCCCTTAAAAATTAATTGTTATATATTTCCTATAATTTTCATTTCAAACATAAAGAAAATAGCCAAGTTACTATAATATGTGTGTAACAAAAACCCATGATGGTTGTCAAGCAATTCCCATGTTTTTGTTGTAAGTGTAAACCCTAACTGAATGACATCTTAACTTACCCTCATTCCCTGAGAGCGTGAAAGGGCTCTCAAAGGTCGCAGAGCACGCAGGGTTCTCATAGTCTTGAAGGCTTGGATTTTTGTCACCCCTGCTGCGGTAGCTGTAAGATTGACCAGAGACACCTGACAGGGTAGAAAGTCACCTTCTTTAAAGTCTTTCACTTGTACTTACTCTAATAGTCTTTAGTGGAGCAAATAGGAGATAAAACTGTAAACTCCAGCTGTATTAAGCTTCACATTGCCTTTTATGTGTCACAAAACAGTCACTTATTGTCATCAGGTAGACAGTTAAACATTTGTATACATGTGATTAACAAGTATCAAATGGAATTTAAATGTTTATCAAATAGTGTACTATGATAAGAAAAATAAATTATCATAGACATGGAAATTAGGGTTATTTAACTCAATACACTCTGCATTTATTATATATATGTATACATACAAATATACCTGATGAGATGAAGCTGGTTGTTTGTGTGACAGAAAAAAGACAAGAGTGATAAGATATTCCATCCTCATGCCAGGGGCTTGGTCCACAGCAAGCTGGACTAGACTGGACATCAACATGGTCAAATCAATTCCACACACAAACAATCACAATATCTGTAGCAGTAATTCCATCAGTAGTCAGCTAAGAAAGCTAACTCTGGGAATATCTTCTCTAACTATGTAAGGCATGTCCTCTTTAAAGCACAGACTTCCAGTTACGTGCAAGTTGGTATTTCACAAGATGATCCTCCATTAACTACACAACTGCTGCAGGCAACAAACATCAATTTAAAGAGTGATAAATTACTTACTCTCATCCCTTCCAGCCGTGACATGGCACGAAGTGGGCGAAAGGCCCGCAGAGTTCGCATAGTTTTAAATGCAGGAATGTTGCTATAGCCTACTAAACCAACGGCCAGATTAAACATGGACACCTGAGATGTGTTGAATCAAAAAGTTGTGGCAGTGGACAGGAAGCAAAAGAAAAGAAAAAACACACACAGGGATTAGTTTGTTGGTATTCAATACAGGATGAGTTGAGGAAAATAAGGTCACTGTCTTCTCTCAGGAAATAGGACTCCACAGAAGGGTGAAAATTAAATTGTTGATCATATATTATTTCAACTTTTAACCTGAAAACACTCAATTTTATTTTTAAAACAACAGCAACAACAAAAAGATTATCAATCAACAATAATGACATATATAAAATGTTTCAAATACTTGAAAAAAATATGTGTCAGTGTAAAAATAAACATCCACAAGATTTCATGGTGGGTGTGTGTATGTATATTGTATAAAACAACCAACTGCTATATTTCTAAAACTAGTAAATTATACTGCATTGAAGACTGAATTCTACAAAAGTAAAAGAAAAGTTTTAATTTAGTTTAAGGTTAACTACGAAAATGATACATAGAAAGTCAGTTTAAGATTTCAGTTTGATCATCTCTTAATATAAAACTTAAATTCTGGAAAAATAAAATAAAATGAAATTTTTAGAGAGGCAATTTCAAAAGGAGCTGAATTGAAACTCTGCAATAATTATTTATAAATCTACATTTCAAAAGTTTGACCATTTCTGTTATGGTAAGAAAAGTTTTGTCAACAGTATTACCACACATGATCAAGTATTTTTATCACAATGAAAATATCTGAAACCTCCAAGAAACAGTTAAAACTTAAGTTTTATACAAAAGTTTATAAAATATGTTTTATAAATTTAATATAAAAGTTATATCTAAATAAAAATTCCATTGTTTCACCATGTAAACTTGATAAATGTACATTGTTTAATTTTAATGCTGTTGTTATATATATGCAGTTTTTATTTCAAATAATGATGTTAAAAGTACAGTAAAATGTTTTGTGATATAAATGTTAACGATTATTGTTTTAATAACGTGTTAAAAATTTAGAGTTAGTTAGAGTGGTTATACACTGTCATTGTTCAAGTTTATTCATATATGTTATAGAGATGATCAGTAGCTTTCTACAACTTTCAATATATTAACCCATAGTTGAGATCCTCGCACTCTCCTGAAAATTGTAATACTATATAGGCAAGCTTGCATAGCCACAAAGAGCTAAATTTCTGTGAAAAGAAGTACATATGGTACAAGAAATATTGTAAGTAAATGATAATTTATTAAGAGTATTAAGGAAAAAAGAAGACGAATTTTCTTACCAACACAATTGTAAAGTCCAACCAGCACCAAGCATTAGTAAAGTACTTTCTGAAACCAAATGCTAACCATTTAAGTAACATTTCAAAAAGAAAGATGACTGTAAAGAATTTGTCAACAATGACCAAAACTTCTTTAAGCGTAGGTTGATTCTTCAAGTGTACATCTTCTAGAGCCTGTGGATAAGAAAATATTGTTATAATATTTTTCAAACAGTTCTTCTTGGACCAGAAATCCCAACTCCCCTCCAAAAGAATATTGCAGGCACATAGTTATACTCACATTTTTTAGATAATTGTTTCCTTATTTCTCCAAGATAAACAGTAAAAAATAAAAATAAAGATGAATAGAAAGAAAAATATATTATTTCAAATATATTTGAAGAGGTGAATTTTTCCCTAGTTAAAGACAAAAATACACTAAAAACACTTTTTGCTAACAACTTGTAACGAATATACTCCTAATAAATAATGAAACTAGAAATCCACTTGCCAATCAGAAAGCTTTGGGTTTTTATCCATTTTTTAATTATTAGACTAAGCGTAATTAAACATACAGAAAAGGAGTAACATACTATATTTCTAAGAGTTGGCTCATCTTTTCATTTTAGGTTAACACTTTTAAAATTTCAAACACAATGATTCTTCTTTAAAATATATATTAGAGACTACTGAAAGAAGCAACAACACTGCTTAAACAATAACTGTAAAAGAAGTTTAGTTTTCTCATAGTAAATTTTTTATATGGTTATAAGTTTCTCAAACAACCATATTTACTAATGCAGAACAACTTTAATAGTAAATGCAAGAAATTATATATATAGTTATAGGACACTTGAGCAGCTTTATATTGTACTGTTATACTAGTGTTCTGTATATATAACAACAAACAGACCTTTACCAATTACTCTAATCTGAGTATTACTCTTACTATACTTGTCAGAAACAAAACAGAGACCCCTAACCCCATCATGTGTTGAAAAAAATAAACACACTGTTTCAAGAAATACTGTGCCAATTATTCTGTTTAATGTTTTTATATATAATAAAACATATATAATGTGCCACATGGCAATTACAAATGTAAATATAACTTTAGAAGATTATTAATACATCCTTCGGAGAATAATTTTTATAAAATAAAGGTATAATTTCATACAACATGCAATTAACTTCTGCCATGTGTGCTACAAATACATGTGTATGCATAAATATTTTAAAGTTAAAATCCCACAAAACAAGAAGTTAATTACTGTGAAATATTTGATTGTATTGATTATATAGCCTTTGTCTATTAATTAAAATTATTTTCAATTGAAACACAAAGATACATTTAAAGCAAGAAAATAAGCCTTTTTTAAAACATACAACAATAAAAATTTACTAGGTGACCTATTATATTTCCTAGATCTTGGAAAGTAAAATTTTCAGTTTAACTGTATGTACATGTAAATAATGTGTGGTTGTGTACATAGTGTTACTAATAATTCACATTGTGCACATATATCATTATTTAATTTGATATAGTGTGCCATATGTTGCATATTTTTCTGTTTACGACATGGTTAATTGTTGAGTATTATGTAAAATTCTACACTATTATGTTGAATGTAACATTCATATTCAAATTATCTTTCATTTGATGAAGAGCTCCTAAATAATCTTGAGAGCTTGTGTTTAATAAATACATGGTGAAGTTTACTTTTACGTTTTTTTTTCCCATTTAAAAATAACTCTTAAACTTACCAGGGCAAGACTACTCAGCATTATCATTGTGATTACAACTGTTTCAAAATACTTGTTTTCAACTATCCAATAGCTTTTGGCTCGCAATCTCCTATAAAACTGCCAGAAAGGAGAGTCATCATCACCAACACAACAAGGAAATCTTGTATAACAACAGTCTGGACAACAGTCAGCAGGGTCTTCAGCAATTATGGCATCTTCATTTGCTGTTTCAAATTTATCAATGTCTATATCTTCACCATCTTCTAGAGTTTCTATGGATTAGAACAATTTTAAATGTAGCAATAATAATAATCTAACTGGCTGTGAATTAGTTATTTAACTTTTTTATGTTTAAAGAGTGTAGAACCACAGAAGTAGCTAAATTACAGCTAAATAGACTTAACCTGAGATTTTTCAGATGTATCTTCCTTCATCATCTCTTCCAAAAATACTCAGATTCAAAATACCTTCAAAAGTATATAAATTTCACATCCAATTATGTTTTCCTCTGTTTGAGGACCATCTAAATGTAGAGCTGGGAGATTAATTTGATCAGTTTATTACCTATGAGCATGATATTACATCATGATTAGTGTCAAGTAAAATAAACATTTAATCAAAATTATGATTAAATAACTTAAGGGACGGAAATCATCAACTAGTATTTCTGTTTATTACAACTATCCACTAACTAAAATTACAATTAAATCAATTAATATCAGATTTTAATATTATTCTAACCACCCACTATCCAGTAATCAAAATTGCAATTAAGTTGCTAATGTCCCAAAAATCAACTAATCAAACTCCAGTAATTGAAAAATTACCATTATGATTTTTCATTATTATTTTTGATTAATTCATATTTGTTCAGCTTAATCAATTGGTAACACACAGAATTTGTAAATACTTTTTTAGAACATGCTTGTTTCAGTTTATAAAGAAGAAATATATATATATATATA